TGTTGCTTGTCTCCCCCCCCCCCCCCCCCTTTAGTGACAAAGGAATTGGGACATGTGATATGTACATGTTATTAGAAAAATAGTAAATCAGAATTGTTGATAGTGAGGCTCTGGCAGATATATTGTATGTATTTGTGTCAGAAATAGTGTGGTCAGCTGTGGTGGATTGACCCTGGCTGGACACCAAGTGCCCACCAGAGCTGTTCTATCACTCCCCTCCTCAGCTGGATAGGGGAGAGAAAATGTAATGCAAGGCTCGTGGGTCGAGATAAGGACAGGGAGAGATCACTCACCAATTACTGTCATGGGCAAAACAGACTCGACGTGGGGAAATTAGTCTTAATTTATTACCCAGCAAATCGGAGTAGGATAATGAGAACTAAAACTAAATCTTAAAACACCTTGCCCCCACCCCTCCCTTCTTCCTGGGTTCAACTTCACTCCTGATTTCTCTACCTTCTCCCCTCTGGGCGGCACAGGGGGACAGGGAATGGGGACTGCAGTCAGATCATCACACGTTGTCTCTGCCACCCCTTCCTCCTCAGAGGGAGACTCCTCACGCTCTTTGCTCAAGCGTGGGGTCCCTCTCATGGGAGGCAGTCCTCCACAAACTTCTCCAACATGAGTCCTTCCTGTGGGCTGTGTTCTTCACGGGTCCCTTCCACGGGGTCACAAGTCCTGCCAGCAAACCTGCTCCCGCGTGATTCCTTTCTCCATGGGGCCAGAGGTCCTTGTCAGCAGCCTGCTCCAGCACAGGCTTCCCTCGGGGTGACAGCCTCCTTCGGGCATCCATATGCTTGAGCGTGGGGTCCTCCACAGGCTACAGGTGGATACCTGCACCAGCAGGACCCAGGAAGTTATTGTCCCTCTGTACTTGGCACTGGTGAGGCCATGTTCAGTTTTGGGCTCCTCACTACAAGGACACTGAGGTCCTGGACCATGTCCAAAGAAAGGCAACGAAGCTGGTGAGGGGTCTGGAGAACAAGTGTTATGAGGAGCGGCTGAGGGAACTGGGGTTGTTTAGCCTGGAGAAAAGGAGGTTCAGGGGAGACCTTATCGTGCTCTGCAGCTACTTGGAAGGAGATTGTCGCGAGGTGGGTGTTGGTCTCTTCTCCCAAGTAACAAGTGATGGAACCAGAGGAAATGGCCTCAAGTTGTACCATGCGAGGTTTAGATTGGGTATTAGGAAAGAATTCTTCACCAAAAGGGTTGTCAAGCACTGTAACAGGCTGCCACAGGAACTGGTTGAGTCAGCATCCCTGGAGTTACTTGAAAGACATGTAGGTGTGGTGCTTAGGGACATGGTTTAGTGGTGGACTTGGCAGTGTTAGGTTAACGGTTGGACATGGTGATCTTAAACGTTTTTTCCAACATAAATCATTCCATGATCTCTATGTAATTTGGAAAATTTCTTCTAGATCAGTGTTAAGTGATCCCCTCAGCTAAGTGCCTCCACTGTATGGGAAGCAGTAGATACATAACAGAGAAACTTCTGTCTAGCACGTTAATTCAGAACCTAATGTCCTCAGTAAGCATTGGAGTGCATTTGATAGAATGATTTGGGTTGGAAGGGACCTTTACAGATCACCATGGACAGGGACATCTTTCACTAGATGAGGTTGCTCAAAGCCTAGTCCAGACTGAACCTGGAACAACTCTGTTGATGTGGCACCCACAACTTTTCTGGGCAGCCTGTTCCAGTGTCTTCTCACCTTCATTGTAAGACATATATTCCTCATGTCCAATCTAAATCTACCTTCTTTCAATTTAAAACTGGTGCCCCTTGCCCTGTCACTACAGGTCTTTATAAAAAGTATCTCTCCGTCTTTCTTATAATCCCCTTTTATCTATTTCTTTGGAGCCTTCTCTTCTCCAGGTTGAACAACCCCAACTTTCTTTGCCTTTCTTCACAGGAGAGGTGTTCCAGACTTCTGTCATTCTTTCATGTCCCTCGTCTGGACCTGCCTGAGCAGGCCCATGTCTGTCTTGTACTGGCAACCCCAGAGCTGGACACAGTACTCCAGGTGGGATCTCGCCAGAGCAGAGTAGGGGGAGAGAATAGCATCACTTGACATGCTGACTACACTTCTTGTAATGCAGCCTGGGATATGATTGGCTTTCTGGGCTGCAAGTGCACATCGCTAGCTCATGTCCAGCTTTTCATCGACCAGTATTCCCAAGTCCTTCTTGTCAGGGCTGCTCTCAATCCATTCATTCCTCAGTTTCTGTTGATACTGGGGATTGCTCTGACCCAGGAGCAATTGTGTTTGGCCTTGTTGATCTTCATGAGGTTCATGTGGACCCATTCCTCGAGCTTGTCAAGGTCCCCTGGATGGCATCCCTTCCCTCTAACTTACCAACTGCACCACTCAGCTTCGTGTCATCTGCGAAGCTGCCGAGGGTGCCCTGGATCCCACTCTCTGTGTCATTAATGAAGATGTTAAAAAGTATCAGTCCCAGTACAGACCGTTGAGGGATGTAGCTCTTTATCAGTTTCCACATGGACAGTGAGCTGTTAACTCTAATTCTTTGGATGCATCCAG